GCTGGGAAAAGGCTGGGAAAATCTGGGAAAAGGCTGGGAAAAGGCTGGGAAAAGGCTGGGAAAAGGCTGGAATTGACCTCTGAGCGTGGGCACGGTGAGGGGCCGGGAGCTGGGAAGCTCCGGAATATCCGAGGAGGGCAGCGGGATCAGCTCCGACGGGAAAAGGAGGCGGCTCCGGAAGCTCCGGGAGCGCAGCCCCGGCAGGAAAATCCCGGCCGTGCTGCACTCGTCAAAGGAAGCAGCCGCTCTCTGGAACATGGGATCCACCTGGAATGTGGGAATGGGGATGGGAATGTGGGAATGGGGTTGGGAATGTGGGAATGGGGATGGGAATGGGGGAATGGGGTTGGGAATGGGGGAATGGGGTTGGGAATCAGGGAATGGGGATGGGAATCAGGGAATGGGGTTGGGAATCAGGGAATGGGGTTGGGAATCAGGGAATGGGGGTGGGAATTCGGGAATGGGAGGAGGAGGAGGGAGCACCTCGGAGCGGCGGCCGGAATCGGGAGCGTTGATGTTGCTCAGGTTCTTCTCGACGGTTTTGAAGCTTTGCTTCTTCTTGGGTTGGGGTTTGGTGGGGGCTTGAGGGGCTGGGCTGGATCCTGGAAAGGGAAAAGGGAGAAATTCCATGGGAATCCGGCTGGAAAAGTCCAGGGGAGGGAGGAGAACGGGAATGGGGAGGATGGACTGAAGTGGGAATGGGAATTCTGGGATTGGGATTGGCCGGGATGAGCAGCGCTCTGTGGGGATTTATTGATCCTGTCTGGCAAAACCTGATCCTGTTCCATCCCAAAATCTCCTGTTTGATCCCAAAATGCTCCTGTTCCATCCCAAACGGATCCTGTTCCATCCCAAACTCTCCTGTTTGATCCCAAATGGATCCTGTTTGATCCCAAATTTCCCCTGTTCCATCTCAAACTGATCCTGTTCCATCCCAAACTCTCCTTTCCCATCCCAAACTTCCCCTGTTCCATCCCAAGCTCTCCTGTTCCATCCCAAATTTCTCCTGTTCCATCCCAAACTGATCCTGTTTGATCCCAAAATGCTCCTGTTCCATCCCAAACAGATCCTGTTCCATCCCAAAGTCTCCTTTCCCATCCCAAACTTCCCCTGTTCCATCCCAAACTCTCCTGTTCCATCCCAAACTCTCCTGTTCCATCCCAAATTTCCCGTTCCATCCCAAATTGTCCCTGTTCCATCCCAAATTTCCCCTGTTCCATCCCAAATTTCCCCTGTTCCGTCCCAAATTTCCCCTGTTCCGTCCCAAATTTCCCCTGTCCCATCCCAAACTCTCCTGTCCCATCCCAAATTTCCCCTGTTCCATCCCAAATTTCCCCTGTTCCATCCCAAATTTCCCCTGTCCCATCCCAAACTCTCCTGTCCCATCCCAAATTGTCCCTGTTCCATCCCAAATTGTCCCTGTTCCATCCCAAATTGTCCCTGTTTGCCCCCAAACCGAAATCTGAAACCGCTGAGCCACAGATCCATCTCCTCCCATCCCAAACTCCTCCAGCATCCCACGAGAACCAACCCGGAATCCCCCAACCCTGGGAGGATTCACCCCAAAACCCCAAAGCGCGGAAGAGCGCCGAGCCGGGGTGGGAAAAGTGGGGAATTCCCGGGATTTTGGAGAGGAAAAGAGGGAATTGTCACCTTCCCCGGGGCTGTGTGGCTCCCTGGCAGGGGTGGGCTCCTTGCCCAGGTGGCCCAGGACCCTGAAGGCGTCGGCGTGGACGGAATCCACGCGCACGGCGTAGATTTTGGCGCTGGCATCCAAAGTCCCGGCCGCCACCTGCGGCAGGAACAGGGAATTCGCAGCTGGAAAAGGGAAATCTCAGCGGGAGCATCCCGGAGTTATTTCCTGAGTGTTCTGCTTCCTGAGGAAAATCGTGGGGAGCACTGGGAAAGCTGTGGGTTCCTCACAAAGGGGGGTTTTTTCACTGTAGTTTGATTTTTTTGGGGGTTTTTTTTGGGGATGGTAGCTGAAAATCCTTTGGGAATTGTTGGGTTTGGCAAGGGGGAGGAGAGGAAAGGGAAGGGAAAAGGAAAGGGAAAAAAGGAAAAGGGAAAAGAGGAGAAAAGGGAAAGGGAAAAGGGAAAAGAGGAGAAAAGGGAAAGGGAAAAGGGAAAAAGGAGAAAAGGGAAAGGGAAAAGGGAAAAGAGGAGAAAAGGGAAAGGGAAAAGGGAAAAGAGGAGAAAAGGGAAAGGGAAAAGGGAAAAGAGGAGAAAAGGGAAAGGGAAAAGGGAAAAAGGAGAAAAGGGAAAGGGAAAAGGGAAAAGAGGAGAAAAGGGAAAGGGAAAAGGGAAAAGAGGAGAAAAGGGAAAGGGAAAAGGGAAAAGAGGAAAAAAGGGAAAGGGAAAAGGGAAAAGAGGAAAAAAGGAAAAGAGAAAAGGGAAAGGGAAAGGAAAAAAGGAAGAGGGAAAAGAGGGAAAAGAGGGAAAAGAGGGAAAAGAGGGAAAAGAGGGAAAAGAGGGAAAAGAGGGAAAAGAGGGAAAAGAGGGAAAAGAGGGAAAAGAGGGAAAGGAAAGGAAAGGTCTCCTCTCCTTCCTCAGGGTCACCCCCTTGGGATCATCCCAAAGCAGGAAGAGGTGAAGGGTGTGAAATTCCAAGCGCCTTTTCCAAGCCCAGATCCCGCCAGGAAATCCAAGAAAACCCAGAGCTTTCCCACCCTTCCCTCAGGAATGCGCCTCCCCCTCCTGACAATTCCCGGGATGCTTCTCCCTGGCAAATTCCTGGATCAGAACCAGCCCAGAACCTCTTTCCCTCCTTTCCCATCCTCGCTGTTATCTCCCAAATCCTGCTTGGATTTGCCAGAGGATCCAGCCCTGGAAGGACTCAGCACCATTGGAGGTCTCACATTAATTAATCCCGGGGTTAATTGGAGGAGGGAACAAAGCAGGGACCCCTCTGACCTGGAAGTTGGTGAGCTCCGAGTTCTTCTGCTTGAGGATGTCGGTCATGTAATCGATGAGGTGAAGCCCAAAGGCGTTTTTGGTGGTGATTTTCTGCAACAAAACAAAGCTGGGAGCCCTTCCCCGGTATTGATTACACAGCTGCAGTTTGACCTGATCTTTAGCAAGCACAAGGCCTGACATTTCCCAGGGCAAACCAAACCCAAATTTCTTACTAAATCCCCCAATTTTCTAGGATTTTAATACCTTTTACTATCGCTGGCATGGGCAGGAACTGCTGCCTGGGAAATCCCACAGGAATTTTTTCCTGGATATTCCAGAACCGGGTCCAGATCTCCCTTTTTGGATTTTCACCCCCAGCTCAGGGGGATTTTACTCCCCAGCTCAGGGGGATTTTACCCCCAGCTCAGGGGGATTTT